GAGTTGTAAATAACGGTTCCGCTTCATAAAAATATGTAGTGATTTGAATTTCATTGGCTTACGGTTCTATGTTTAATTTGAAAATTTAATGAGATTTTTCTGTCACAAGCAATGTACTTTTAGGTGTGTGTGTGTGCATGCATGTGTGTGTGTGCGCGTGCGCGCACCTGTAGGTGCATTTGTGGGGGGTCAGATGTTGACATTGGGACGTCTTCCTCAGCTGCTTTTCTGCTTGTATTTTTCCTCGTTTGAAGATTGTCTGACAGATTCATACATTTAGTTGGATGTTTGCCATCTTCACCCTTCCCTTCCCTCACCCTTCCCTTCCCTCACCGACCCCCTCTTCCCAACAAGTCCCCCTCCTTTTTTTAATGCCTTCTTTTTGTGTGGCCTGCTGACCCACCTTAGCTTTTGAGACAGGGTCTTTTCACTGAACCTGGAGCTCGCCCTTTTGTTTCAGCTGGCTGGTCAGGGAGCTCCGCCTCCAGGTCCACCTGTCCCTGCTCCTGATGCTGGGGTTGTAGACACCGGATGCACCCAGCTTTTTTATGTGGGTGCTAGGGACCCAACCCAGGCCCTCACACTTACACAAAAGCATTTGACTCGCCGAGTTACCTCCCAGTCCCCTGCTTTTAGACTTTTTCTTCCAGATGTTCCAAGACTCAGCCATACTGTGTGTTGCTTTAAGAATTGTTTTGAGCTGGGCAGTGGTGGCACATGACTTTAATCCCATGCCTTGGGAGGCAGAGGCAGGTGAATCTCTGTGAGTTTGAGGCCAACCTGGTCTACAGAGTAAGTTCCAGGACAGGCTCCAAAAGCTACACAGAGAAACCCTGTCTCGGAAAAAACAACAACAACAAAAAAGAATTGTTGAGCCAAGTGTGGTAGCACACGCCTTTAATCCCAGTACTCCAGAGGCAGAGAGGCAGGAGGTTGTCTGTGAGTTTGAGGTCAGCCTGGTCTGCAGAGTGAGTTCCAGGCCAGTCCAGGTTACGTAGAGAGACCCTACCTCACAAACAAACAAAAATAAAAAATAAATTGCTTTGGCTTTAAGTTCATGAAGTAATCATGATTGAGCAGTACTGAACTATACCGTCAAGGTGTGTCCTTGTCCTTGCCTTGGGCTCTTCCTATCTAGATGTGTCAAGACCAGGAAAAGGAGCCGAGAGAGGCACATGGTGAGTTTCTGACATAGGTGGATTTTCAACCCAGGCTCCTGAACCCTAGCAGAGGCCCCTCCTGTTTTCCACATCACTACGGTGTGTTTATCTTTTCCAAATTAAACTCAGTTTTCAAATAGGCATCGACTAGGTGATGTGTCACATGATTCAAATGACCAAAGTATGACAAGAACTCTTGATGTGTGACTCCCACTTCCATTGACCCTGCGTTGTGCACGTGACCTGTGTGTGACTGCCTGCTGATCCCTCTACATGCTGGGCTGGGTGAGCTCCGGAGGGGCCTTCATGTCCAGTGTGGGACACTTACAGTTTTCCCTTTCTCTATCCACCAAGATGTCAGTGGCACACCCCAGCTGGAGTCATGGCGACAAGAAGGATGTCCAGGCATTGCCAAAGGCCCCAAAGAGGGCAAAGTCACCTCCAGTTGAGAAATTGCTGTATGCAAATAGAAGCAAATGTGACCTCTGTTTTCATTTTCAGCCCTTTCTACGTTTGAAAAGCACAGTCTATACACACCTCCTTTTCACAAAATATGTTAATGTATGGAAATAATATGTCAAGATTTATATTTTGCTTTTCTGTGGGTTGGTATCCTGTTCTCTTTGGACTGTGTGCCCCTTCCTCTGTGCGTCAAGGAACAGGTAGGACCTCCCTTCCCATCAGACTTCTCCAACAGTGTGTTATATTAGCCAATTGACTCCCCTAAGTTAGTTATGCTGACTGCTCAGCCCTTCCAGGAGCAGTCATGCCCTGACCCAGTGGTGCATCAGGAGCCAGCACAGACAATGATGGATTACAGACGGGTAGTCAACGTACACAACAAGCCACGGATACCTGACACAGTAATTTAGAGCTTGTTTTTTTTGTTTTGTTTGTTTGTTTTTTCCAAGACAGGGTTTCTTAGGTAGTTTTGGAGCCTGTCCTGGAACTCACAGAGATCCACCTGCCTCTGCCTTCTGAGTGCTGGGATTAAAGGCGTGCACAACCACCACCCGGCTGTTTTTTGTTTTTGTTTTATTTATCTTATATTTTCTATGTTTTGTCTGTATATATGTCTGGTTTCCCAGAGAGCATTGGATCTCCTGGGACTGGAGTTACAGATGGTTGTGAGCTACCATGTGGGTGTTGGGAATCAAACCCAGGTCCTCTGTAATAGCAACAACTTTTTTAAATGATTTATTTATTTTTATTTCATGTGCATTGATGTTTTGCCTGCATATATGTCTGTGTGAGGGTGTTGATCCTCTGGAGGTAGAGTTATAAGCAGTTGTGAGCTGCACGCCCTGTGGGTGCTGGGAATTGCACCCAGGTCCTCTGGAAGATCAGCCAGTACTTTTAATCACTGAACCATCTCTTCAGCCCCTGTAATTTAGATCTTAATGTTCCTTGTAGGTCCCGGTGATAAAGGTATAGTCCTCAGATTGGCTCCGCTGGGGGAATGAATGGTCAAGCTTTGGGGAGGTGGGGCCTGCTGGGAAGTCTTTCAGTCACTGGACTGTGGAAGCCGGCTCCCTCTTCTTCTCTGCTTTCACTCCCATCTATAAGGCAAATGAATGGTTTTCTCCCATGTGTACATCTGTCCTGACGTCCTGCCTCACCACAGCCCCACAGTGTCAGCGTGTTGTCACGATACAGAAAGCTGACTCACCAACACGTCTGATCTGGCTATGTTCACCGGGGCCAGTCATCTGGGACCTGTTTCCCTGCGTGGGGCTCCGGCTTCTCTTTTCTGGTCCCTCGAGACAGCCTCTGCTTCTGGCCCATTGACTAAGCCTCCGGCTCTCAAAGGCTGTATAATTGTTGACCTCTGGGATTCTCCTGGTGCCTGTGGAAATGGTGTCCCTTAGGGTTGTGCGGGTTGCCTGTGTTAACTAGGCATTCCTACCTGAGCCAAAGGTCGGGGTGGGGCCTCCTGCCCCTGTTGGGATTTGTTGGGAAGGACAGTGACCTAATATGACCACAAAGGATAAAGGAGCAAGTCAGGGGTGTCAGAGGAGGACAATGCTTGTTCTGGCCAACAGAGGGCACCAGAGCCATCCTCCCCGATGTCCACACTGTAATTATTTTAATAAGTGGTTCTAAACACACCTTAGTTCACAGCTCCTACCTCGTGTGTTTGTGCTTTTTCTGGAAGATTTGTGACCAAAACACTGAACGCGGGGGACAAATCTCCCTAAGGTGTACTAGTATAAAAAGATGATTGTAGGAAAACCGCCCCCATTTGAAGGAAAGTCAGGCAAGTGTGTGTGTGTGTGTGTGTGTGTGTGTGTCCATGGAGGCCAGAGAGGATGAAAAGTGTCCTGCTTACCACTGTCCCCTTTTTTCCTTTGAGCCTTTAAGTCTCGGTCTCTCACTGAACCCAAAGCCAGCTGGTAGCCAGCACATCCCAGTGAGGCTCCTGTCTCTGTGGCCCTTCGCCAGCCTCAGTGTTGGAGTTACAGGCATGCCACAGCCACAGCTGACTTCTTATGTGGGTGCTCTGGATTTGAACCCAGATCCTTGTGCTTGCAACAGTAAACACTTCCCACTGAGCCATCTCCCTGGTCCCCAGTCTTACCCTTTTGACAAGGCCATTTCCATTTTTTAATCAGCTTTTGTGACCTTGTAGATACAGTGGGAGCCTCCGCCTGAGAGTGTGTGGTGGGCATCAGTCCCCTTCACCCCTGCTATGAGCATTCTGGCTGCCTTGCCTGTTGGAATCACAACAGTGACCTCATGGCACAAACTTTGAAGACAAAACAGAACAGTTGTCTTCTGTGTATTGTTCCTTCACCTTCCTGGAGGACTTAATTACTAGCTTGTAGTAGTTAAGGGGGCCGGGGGTGGGGGGGGTCCTTACAGCTCAGGGGCACTTGGTAGTTTAAAATAAAAGCTTGTGTGTGGAATGGTAAGGTCTGTATGTGGGAAGGATTTGGAAAATACTTTGAGAATTAATGTAAGGACTTACACTTAATGTAAGTGTTCACGAGGGAGCCCAGGATACAAATGTCATTTTAATGGTCAAAGATGATAATAAGCCGAGTGTGATGGTGCACACGCCTGTAACTCCAGCACCCGGAAGGCAGAAGTCAGTCCAAACTGTTTGCTTGCATGAGCCTTGGGGTCCCTTTGGAGGGAGACCTTACCTAAGTATCCCCTTACATTCAACTTCTGTTAATTAAATTAAAGGTGCCCTAGCCAAGTTTGGGCACTTGGGAAGTCAAGACAAGAGAAGCCAGAGTTGAGATCAACCTGGGCTTCATATCAGCATTGTGACTCACACCTTTAGTCCTAACACTATGTAGACCAGGCTGGCCTTGAACTCACAGACCCTCCTGCCTTGTTCTACATAGCCGGTAGTCAACGGCTTCTTGGGGAGTGGAGACCTCTCCTGGCAAGACTTTTCAATATTCTCTCGAGATCCCTCATGCTAACAAGTTGCAAACTTTACTTTAGTGTGTGCTTAGGGTTCATTTAGTGTATGCATAAATCTTCAAGCACATTACATCAGTGAGAATTTTCTAGAAAGTTTGAAATACCTGGTGCAGCTAAACTTCTGATATCAGCATAGTGTGACAACAGAGTCAACCCATGCTGGGTTAGCCTTGGGTTTCAGCTGTGTTCCTGTCTCAGGCTTCAACACACAGCATAGCGAAGGGCTTAGCTTCAGAGTGGAGAGAGAAAATGGTGTTTGGGTCTTAGTCCTTCTTCCCCCTAACTGATACATTTCTGAAACTCCTGGTTTGATTAGATTTCCGTAGCAGCACACCTTTATTTAGCTGTTTTCTCACCCCCAGCCTCAGTTTTGGTTGGGTTTTTTTTTGTTTTGTTTTGTTTTGGTTTGGTTTTTTGGTTGGTTGGTTGTGGTTTTTTGTTTTTGTTTTTTGGTGTTTTTTTGCCTTGCAATGCTGGCGCTAACTTGGGGTTTTGCACCTGTGAGATAAGTCTTTTGATCACTGAGCTGTGCCCCCACATTGCCCATTTTCACTTTGAAAATCTAATCAACCTTTGAGAAAAATGAGAATTACAATACACACCTTTTATGTGTAATTGTTTTGTTTGAGACAGAGGATCCCTGTGTAGCCCAGGCTGGCTTGGACCTTGCTATGATGGGGTAGGCCTGGTCTCCTTCCTCTGACTCCTGATTACTAGGATCCTCCACCATGCCGGGCCTTCTTTTACAATTACCAGTTAATCTATTCTTTATCCTTTTCGGTGAATAATGGGTTATTCTGAAATTTTACAGATCTTTATTACACTCGTGTGTGTGTGTGTGTGTGTGTGTGTGTGTGTGTGTGTGTGTGTGTTCATGTGTGTGCAGCCTAGGCATGGCTGTGGAAGTCGGTGAACAACATGAGGAAGTCAGTTCTCTCCTACCATCTCAATCCCGAGGGTCACACTCAGGTCACCAGGTTTAGCCACAAGCACCTCCGCCCACTGAGCCCTCTCACCAGCCCTTGTTTCATTTTTTTGCTCCCAAGCATTGAGAGTTGCAGGCATGTGACACGTCTTCCCTAAGTAGATCAGGATGCGTCTCCCCAGAACAACGATGCTCAGGTAAGCAATTGCAATGCCCTCAGCGCACTGAAGGAATTAGCATCAATTCAGGCACCCACAGTGCAGCTCAGATTGCCCCGTACCTTTTTCTTTTCTTTTTAAACCTTTTTTTCTGAGGATCCACTGGATCAGCTCTATCACTTACAGGCAAAGGACTTCTCCAGTTAGAGATAATTCAAGGTATTTTAAGAGTCTAGGTCACTTGTCTTCTATTGTCTTCTAGAATTTTCCATAACTCGGTTTATCTGTGGAGAGGCTTATGTTATCAATCTGAGCAAAAATATAATACGTCCCACACTGTGTGTCTGGTGGGGTCACATTATATGGCATGTGATAAAGATTGTCCCAAACTGGTATTGCAAACTCTGTCACTTAGAGTATCTGCCGGGTCTTATGACAAGGATTTGTGAAAGTTCATAGGCTTCTACGAGATCACATGAATGGTGTGTGTGTGTGTGTGTGTGTGTGTGTGTGTGTGTGTGTGTCTGTGTCTGTGTCTGTGTCTGTGTCTGTGTTTAGATGCATGTATATGTGAGTGCATATGGAAGCCAGAGGACAGCCACATGCTGTGACTCTGGAGCCATTAACCTTCCTTTTTCAAAACAGGGTCTCCTGTGGCTCAAACTTGTCAGGTAGGCTAGGCTGGGTAGCGGCGGAGCACCACGTCTCTCCACCACCCAGTGTTGAGATTACAGCGAACCCCACACATCCCACATTCTTACGTGGGTGCTGGGTCTTTGTGCTTTTGAGGCGAGCGCTCTACCTGCCGAGCTCTGTCCACTGTTCCCATGAGGGACTTTTTCTTTACAATTCCCCCACGGACTGTGCATCCCACTGTCCTAGAAGCATCCTTCTGGGCTTCCTGTTGCTGTCACGGTGGAGGAAGGCTTGGGGAGAAGGGAAGCATGAAGAAATGTGTCAGGTCTCACCTTTGCAGACCGGTCACCGTTGCGTCTTCACACATTTGCACGAAATGAATGACGGGAGTGGCCTGTGTTTTCTGCATGGTTGTCCTGTCTATACGAACAAAGGAAGCCGGTTTGCTTCTGTCTGTCCACACCAGAGCCTCCAAAGCAAATATTAGCCTGGAGTCAGTTGCTGAAGGGCTGCGTGGGGTGATGAGGGTGCCTGGTGTTTGTCCCAGTGGCACACATGGCCGAAGAGGAAGGATTCCTCTGGCTTGGTTACGGCTGGGCTTTGTGCTGCAGTTAACAGCCCAGGACGGGAATGGGCGTCAGCGGCTCACTAGACAAAGTCTGCAGAACAGTAGAGAACACTCAGCCGCTCACACCATTGACTCAAGGAGACAGATTGAAACTTGGTAAATAATAGGCTTCAAGGAAGCTTGTGAGAAAGAAAAAGTCATTCTGCTTGCATACGAAAACTGAAGTGAATCATGTTTAATCTTTCCCCACAAGGCAAAGAATCAACGCACTGGTTTTGAACTAGTGGGTAGGAACCATCACCCTAGGAGGATAAATGCTGACACTCTAAACCCCCCTGACTGATAGAAGTAGAGGAGGGTGGTATTTCATAATCTCAGATGTTAGTTATTTATAACATATTAAATGTTTCCACAAAGCTGTCTTTGGAAGGAAGCTTTGTGTAGCACAATTTTTTATTTTGTTTCTATCTATCTATCTATCTATCTATCTATCTATCTATCTATCTATCTATCATCTATCATCTTTCTATCTATCTGAGACAGAGTCTCTCTGTGTAGCCTTGGCTGGCTTGGAACTCATACAAATGTGACTGCTGCCACCTCCCGAGTGCAGGGATTAAAGGCATGCACCACCACCACGTTTTGTTTATTTTATGTATATGTGTGAGTACAGGCATTGTGTGCTAGAAGAGGGTATTGGTCCCTGGAACTGGAGTTAGAGACAGTTGTGAAGAGTCCAAAGTGTGTATGGGGAACTGTCTTAATTAGGGTTCTATTGCTGTGAAGAGACACCGTGACCACAGCAACTCCTATAAAGGAGAACATTTTTGCTTGCTTAGTGGTGCGTCTCCTCGGCTAGCTTTCTTCACTGTACAGCTCAGGGTGCAGACTATGAAATACCGTCCACTACAGGGCGGCTCTTCCTGGACCTCAACAATGAAGACAGTCCCCCACAGACATACCCACAGGCCAACCTGATCTAGAAATTTCCTCATTAAGACTCTTTTTTTTCTTCCTGCCGGGCGGTGGTGGCACACACCTTTAATCCCAGCTCTTGGGAGGCAGAGGCAGGCGTAGCTCTGTGAGTTCATGGCCAACTTGGTCTACACAGAGTGAGTTCCAGGACAGCCAGGACTGTTACATAGAGAAACCCTGTCTCAAAAAAACCAAAAGGAAAAAAAATAAAAATGACTCTTTTCCTGGGTTGGAGAGATGTCTCAATGTTTAAGAGCACTGGCTGCTCTTTCTGAGGACCTGGGTTCAATTCCCAGCACCCACATGGCAGCTTACAACCCTCTGTAACTCCAGTTCCAGGTGTTCTGACATGCTCACATAGATATACATGCAGGCAGTGCATCAATGCACATAAAATTTAAAAAAATAATAAATATTTTTAAAAAAAAAACAAGACTTCCCAGGTGATTGTAGATTGTGTCAAGTTGATACTTTAATCCAACAGGCAGACACCACTTTCTCCACAGGTCATTTTCCTGCAGCTCTAGGGAGGAACCACATGGCTGCCCAGCCTCCCAGCTGCAGACATTGCTTCCTCCTGGGAGCCCCAGCCTGACTCTGGAGCATCCTTACCGTTAGCTGTTGGCAAGCTTCTCTGGCTGGTGCCAGGTCCATCTCTGAACCGGGACACACTTGCCCTGTTTTTATGGTAACATGGCTTTAAAAAAATTGTAGGTGGGGCAGGGATTGCAAACATAGCAATGTGTGCCTGCAATCTGCAGTTGCAAAGTTGAGCCAAGAGGATAAAGGATTTCAAGACCAGCCTGGGCTACATAACCCTGTCTAGAAGAAAAGGACAAACAGCAAAGAAAGTTCTTTGGCAGTATCTCACAGCCTGCAAGTTAACGATGGCTTTTATGGGACTGGGGTGCAGCCCAGGTGGGAGAATGCTTGCTTGGCATGCACAAAGTCCTTGACTCGATTACCCAGCATTGTCCAAACCAGATGTGGGGTGCATACCTGTTATCCCAGCACCTGGAAGGCAGAGGGAGAGATATTGAGGAGGTTCCCATAGTTATAATTACTTTTTGTTGTTGTTGTTTGTTGTTATTTTGAGAGAGGGTCTCACGTAGCCCAGACTGCCCTGAAGCTTTCTGAGGAGGTGAAGATGACCTCTGATTTCGGTCCTCCTGCCTCCACCTCCTGAGTACAGGAATTACAGGCTGCTGCTCCCGTTCCTGGTGCTGGGGAACTGAACCCAGGGCTTCATGTGTACCAGGCAATCCCTCTGCCGACTGGCCTGCTCACCTTCTGTTTGTCCTTTGTTTTTTTTTTTTTTTTTGTAATTTATTTAATTTTCTGTGTAGAAATGTTTTGCTTTTGTATACATGTCTGTTTGTGCTCCACATGCGTGTCTGATGCCCTCAGAGGTCAGAGGAGGATGTCAGAGCCCCTGGAATGGAGTTACGGATAGTTGGGAACCTCAATGTGGCTGCTAGGAGTTGAACCCGAGTTCTCTGGAAGAGCAGCCAGTGCTCTTAACCACTGACTGGGCCATCTCTCCAGCCCTTTTCTTTTTACTTTTTAATTTGAGACAGTCTCTTAACTGGATCAAGCTGGCCTGATCTCCTGTTTCCACCTCGTGAGTAACTGGGATTGCAGACCAACACTACCAGACCCAGCTAGGCCTGTTTACTCTTTTAACAATCAAGATTATGATAAAGAAATGTAAACGGGGCTTATCTAGGAATAAGTTGATGGGTAAACAGTGTGGCTCAGCCATTTAGTGGACTGCTGCTGCAGAGCAATGTACATGACCGAGCCTCCACCCATACCGCCCGAGGTCAGAAGAGCCAGGCCCAGAGCACACATACTAAGTCAGGACTGGCCCCTGGGCTCCTCGGGACCCCTACTGAGACCCACGCAGGCCTGCTGACAAGCCCCCCAGCATGCATGGTGTCTACAGCCTGCAAGTTAACAATGGCTTTTATGAGACTGGGGGTGTAGCCCAGGTGGGAGAATGCTTGCTCAGCATGCAGGAAGTCCTGGACTCCGTTACCCAGCATTGTACAAACCAGATGTGGGGTGCACACCTGTAATCCCACCGAGCACCTGGAAGGCAGAGGGAGAGAATCAGAGTTCACAGTCACCTTTAGCAAAATAGTGAGCTGAAGGCCAGCCTGGAATATGTGTGTATGTCTGTCTGTCTGCCTCTCTCTCTCTCTCTCTCACACACACACACACACACACACACACCAATTATCTCTCACTTTTTCTTTTTAAATGAGTGAGATCTATTTTAAGAAACTCTACTTTCCTTGATAAAACCTGGTAGCCTCTGGGAAATTGCAAAAGAAAAATGCCTGGCCTCTAACATCATTTAACTCAGTCTCTCTCTGAGTTCACATTGCTTGCTCCGTCCACTGACTCAGCAGATTTTACGCCCTTGGTCTTTTTCAAATGCCCTGCGCGTCTGTGTGTGGCCCCAGCCTTGGCAGGTGGCAGCTTTCTCAGAGCTTGGAAGGCGGTCAGAGGATGCAGGGGTTAGACCTTCAGAGCCGCTGACTGTTGTCAAGCACTGGACTACCAGACGAGGAGCTGAGAAAACTCAATAGGAAGGAAGTCCCCTCAGCAGGCTGAAGCAAGGGCATCGCCGAGAGTTTGAGGCTATATAGTGAGACTGTCCAAGTAAATCAATAAGAGCAGTCACATGTGGTGGAACCTAATCCAAAATAAATCCTCCCCCCTTTTTTTCAGTTGTGTGTGTGTGTGTGTGTGTGTGTGTGTGTGTGTGTGTGTGTGTGTTCGCTCCATGACACACCTGTGGGTATCCGGACAACCTCAAGTATCAGTCCTTGCCTGCCCCCTTGCCCATGACAGGGTCTCCCTGTTCACACTCCGTGTGCCCGGCCTGCGCTTCAGAAGACTCCCGTCTTGGCCTCCCGTCTTTTACAGGGGTTCTGGGGATCTGAACTCAGTTCACCAGGCTTGCACAGGGAGCACTTTACCAGAGGAGCTGTCTCCTCAGACCTTACGTTGTTTCTTGTCAGCTGATTGGTCACAGCAACATAAAATACTGTCCTGAGGATCTGCTCGTCGCTCGGTGTAAATGACCCCAGGGGGACCCTGGATACAGACCAGAGGGCTTAGTGGTCTTAGCCGTGCTTGGGGCCACTTTGCAGTAGCTGGAGACAGGAACCTGGTCAGCAGCAGGACACCAGGAGAGGCAGACGCTGGCCTATCAAAGGGAATGCCGCGGAGCAGTCAGAGGGAGGACAGGGTTCTTTCTGACTTTTCTTAGAGAAGGTCCCGACCTTGGACTAGTGAGATGGCTCAGCAGGGAAAGCCGCTGCTCCTGAGCTGACAGCATCCTGCCCCTCAGCCCCTCTCCTCCTTCCCCTCGCGCTCTCGGAGGAGGTCACTCTGCTTTCCCACTGGAACCCTGTAGTCTCTCCACGTCCTCCATTCCTAGCTCTCCCTAGCGCTGAGTGTGTTCTTCAATGAAAGTCAAGTGACTTCGTCCTGTGAATTTGTAGCTAACGATTTTATCTCTAGCTTCCCAGTTCCATGTTATATTTAAAAGGCTAATGAGGTTTTTTTTTTAAAAAAAAAAAAAAAGGCAGTGCACTAGATCGTTTTGCCGACTGGTGCTGCCGTGAAGGGGCCTGTCGGAGCTGTCAACGCCGCTCTTAGTTGTTGTCCGCCGATGCCCGGAGACTTAGCATAAAAAGCACCGAGCGGTTATGACCAGTAAAAATTAACCTTGAAAGCCAAGTCCTTGCGGGGCTCGTAGGGAAGGGAGCACCACAAGTGCCTGTATCCTCTAAGATGGAGACCAGCACTGGGGGTGGAGCCTGGAGGATCCTGGAAGCTTGCTGGCTTCGGATTCAGTGAGAGACCCTATCTCAAAGGATTAAGTTGGAGAGTGGTAGAGGGAGACACACAACGTCCTCCTGGCCTCTACACTGTGTGCACATAGGTGTACACACAATGAATCAAATATCAATGCATGCCACACCATGGCTAAACCTTGGTGACAAAGATCCAAACACAAAAGGTCCCACATTGCATGGTTCCTTTTATATGAAATATTGTAATTACACAGTATTGGTTAGCAGTCACGTGTTGATTGAGATCACTGAAAAGCCGGCCCAGAAAGTGGTGTTGCCCCGCCGATGCCACCCTGTTTCAGATTCAAGCATGTTTGTCTTAAAATCTCCTCTGAAGTCTGGAGATGACCTTCCCCCAACTCTGTAACAGGGAGAGAAGAACAGCCAAACAGCCCAAGCGTTAAAAACGTCATGTCCTTGAGAACAGGTGGGAAGGAAGCCATTTCCAGCAGACTGTTTATCCCATGATATAAACGTGCCCGATTCTATGATATAAAATAGAAGCCGGAAGTTCAGCCATGGGAAGCTCAGCTGGGAACTCCAGCTGATGCCTCAGCTCCCCCAGTCGGTCTCTTGGGTACTGTGAGCCCCTAATTTAATGATGCCAGCTCTCTCTCCTGCTGTCTGCTCTTTTACTTGAAGCCTAGCACAAAGGAACACTGCTGTGCCCAGGCTTCTTCTTTTTTTTTAATAATTTATTTATTTTTATTTTATGTGCATTGGTGTTTTGCCTACATGTATGTCTGTATGAGGGTGTCAGATCTTGGAGTTACAGACAGTTGTAAGCTGTGGGTGTGTGCCATATGGGTGCTGGGAACTGAACCTTGGTCCTCTGCAAGATCAGTAAGTGCTCTTAACCACTGAGCCATCTCTCCAGCCCCCAGCTGCCTCTCTTAAAGGTGTTTTGTCAGTCCATTTCTGATGGATGTTCATAAGCCCCTGATTTGATAATGTTACCTTTCTGTCTGCTTGTCTTTCTGTCAGTCTGTCCATTATCCATCCATCATCAATATTTATTCTTTTATTTTAAATTGCTATATACATAATCAGTTCAATCATTCAAAACCCAAAATACGCCTAGCACAGATCGTTCTCTGGATATAGCACAGCACAAATAAGCTAACATAGACAGCAGGTCATCGGTGACCCAGAGCTGAGGAGGGTCGAGGTAGGAGACTATTAGAAGCAGCTGTTCATGGAGAAGGGTTTCGTTTTCACTTTTAACTTCCTTGTGTGTGTGTGGGAGGGGTGTGGTGTGATGTGGGTGGGGGGGTGTGGCGCACCACTGTGGGAGTCTGCAGGTCGGAAGACAACGTTGTGGAGTGTCTTCTCTGCTTTGCACCCACTTGGGTTCCAAGAATTGACTTGGGTTGTCAGGCTCACACAGCAAGCGCCTTATTGCCACTGAGCCAGCTGTGGCCGGTGTCTACAGAAGAATGACGCCGTCCTACAGCTGGTTATCACGGCAGCCACACAACTCCATGAGTACACTAAAACCCATTAGCTCCACACCCTTAATGGCTGCATTTGTGACACGGGATTATATCTCCATAAAGCTGTCATTTGGAAGATCTTAGCTAGCGACAGTAGGCAGTGGGGTACACCTATGGCCCTTATCATTCAGAAAACTGACACAGGATTGTGTAGATGTATCCAACCTTCCCATCAAACAATAAACACAGAACCAATGCAAAGAAGAAAGCCAAGAGGTCAGAGCCAAGAGCCAAAACCTTACCCTTCCTCCTGCAGTGGTCCTACCTCTCCGAACCAGAGCTACCCCTCTGTTAAAGTCTTTATATAGAGTTCCTGTCCTGCCTTCTCATTGGTTGTAAACCCAACCACATGACCGCCTCCTCACAGCCTGTCTGTATAGGCCTCCAGGTTTTCCATGATTGGTATTAAGATTAAAGGCATGTGTATCCAATAATGGCTGTATCCCTGAACACACAGAGACTTACCCAGCTCTGCCTACTAAGTGCTGGAATTACAAGCGTACGCTACCACTGCCCTGCTTTCCTATGGCTTGCTAATAGCTCTGACCCCCGGGCAACTTTATTTATTAACATACAAATAACATTTTAATACAAATAAAATATCACCATAGGATTGCTTCAGCCTAGGAGTTCAAAGCCAGCCTCAGCGAAGTAACAAAATATCTCACCCCAAAGAAACAGGGAGTCAAGGAGAAAGGGAGGAAGGGACAGGAAGAAAAGGGAGGAAATGGGTGGGTAGAAACTTTTGGTTTTTGGGGGGTTTGGGTTTTTTTGTTTGTTTGTTTGTTTGTTTGTTTTGGTTTTTTGTTTGGTTGGTTGGTTTGGTTTTTTTTTTTTTTTTTTTTTTTTCCGAGACAGGGTTTCTCTGTGTAGTTTTGGTGCTTGCTTGGATCTCACTCGGTAGACCAGGCTGGCCTCAAACTCAGAGATCAGCCTGGCCCTGCCTCCCGAGTGCTGAGATTAAAGGCTTGTGCCACCACCGCCCGGCAGAAAAGCTTTTATAAAGGGATTTAATTTTCTTTTTCTTTACCTATATGAGTGTTTTGCCTGAAGGTATGTCTGTACACCGTGTGTGTGTGTGTGTGTGTGTGTGTGTGTGTGTGTGTGTGTGTGTGTGTGTTGTTGCCCCTGGAGGCCAGAAGAGGGCATCAGATCCCTCAAAATTAGAATTACAGATGGTTGTTAGCTACCACATAGGTGCTGAGACTCATGCCTACGTCCGTCCTTGTAACAGCAAGAACTCCTAACAGCTGAGCCATTTCTCCAACCCCAAGGAGAGCTTTTAGGTAGGATTTGAGTTACAGATGATGCCTCAAAGTATGTCCATGTCTTCATTGGCATGGACTTTTATTTTTATTCCCAGTGGCTACACCTGAACAATGTCTCTCTGATCCCTGCCATGGACTGATAGTGACTACCTCTGACCCTGTGATCCAGTCCCTCATCTGGGGTGACAGCTGTTCTGTGGTGGATGATATAGCTGCCCCACCCCACCCCTTGTTTGACACGTACTGTAAAGCATTTGTGTACTTCTTGGTCCGATGCCAAGGGCTCTCCTCCCCTGACGTTTTCCCACGTGGGTGATTGCTTTGCTCTTCACAACCGGTGCTGGTTATCAGCCAATGACAGGCCCTTCTATTGACGTGACTCAACAAAGCAGCGATTAAAAATAACACCCAAGTTGAGGTTATTTCATGCTGCTGAAACAGCTGGACCAGTACAGTTCCCAGGGAAACCTGAGGTCCTGTTCAAACAACCTCAGGACCAGCTTGTGCTGAATAGAGAAGACTATGTGGGAAAAGAGTCAAGAACACACAACTGCAGAGAGAGTGAGTGTGTGTGAATGTGTGTGTGTGTGTGAGTGTGCGTGTCTGCACATGCATGCATGTGTGGATGTGGGGTGTATACATGTGTCTGGGGTTGATACCATCCGTGGAAATAACTCCTTAGAGCCTTGTGTATGGGAAGGAGGGGAGCCCAGAGGCATGTTCTGCTAAGAAGCAATGTTCCCTGTAGCAGGTCTTTTTTGGACTGCCAGCTTCCGAATGACACAGAGACTTCTTATTAACTGTGAAAGCTCGGCCTTAGCTTAGGCTTGTTCCCAACTAGCTCTTAAAACACGTTTATATTAATCTACGTTCTGCGAGGCTCGTCGCCTCTCCTCAATACCGAACGTCCAGCTTCCTCTGAGTCTCCGTGGCGAATCTCCCGCCTCAGATTCTTCCCCAGAGTTCCTATCTCTGCCTGGAAGTCCTGCCATCCTCTCCTGCATTAAACCAATCAGAAGGTGCCTCAGGCAGATGGGGTAAAACAGAGACACATCTTTACATAGTGTGATCAAATATCCCCAAACAGTTCCCTCCCTGGTGAGAGTTCCCATCACATCATCCCAAATCCCATTTGACATGAAGGGAAGCCTGGTCCGCTGCCTGTTTGGGGAAATTTTGCTCAAACATAGCCACACCGACTGCTTTCCACGTGGGCTAATTTCAAGTCTTAGTGGAGAGAGGAGTTCACACACCACTGTGTGTCCTGTTCACTGTGGTCCTGTCTGAGGAAGGACGCACTGACACCAGTGCTGCTGTGGGGTGGCTTGTGTGTCCCTTTGCCGATGTGTTGAAGGCCAGGCCCCATGGTGGAGCTGGGGAAGCTGGGGAAGTGGATGGGGCCTGCTGCGAGGATCTCAGGCCATTACAAGCATTCTTTCTTTTCTTTTTCATTACACTTTTTATTTGTTTGTTTATTGTGTGTGTGTCTGCATGTGTATGTGTGTGGGCACACGTGTGGAGGTCAGAGGACAGAGTCAGATTCCTCCTTCCACCCTGAGAGCCTGAGTCCCATTCCCAGAACCACATGGTAGGAGAGAACTGACTCCCATAAGTTGTAGTCTGATCTACACACACACACACACACACACACACACACACACACACACACACACACGAACACACACTAAATAAATAAGCAGATGTCTTTTAAAAGTTAAGAAAGGATGGAAATACCAAGGGAGACCAAGGGAAGAAATATTTTAACTAGTTTCACTTGTGCAGACTCTAGGCCTCAACGGCAACCTCTGGCCATAAAAATGTTACTGTCCTTGCGACTCAGGGTATCTTCCATAAAAGGCTTCCGCAACCCATTTTCAGGAAGAAAAGGCAGAGTTAAGGTGGCCTTTCTTGCATCTGCTACTCTTCAAGAGCTGCTTTAAACTCAGAATAATCTGTATGCCAAAGTTGGGGGTTGCGCATCCTGCCTGCCGCTGTGAACTGTCCACATATTTAGCTAATTTAGCAGCAGGGTCTTCTCCCAGCCTTTGTGGGGACGATGATCTGTGACCATCCTGGTGGATCATTACAGGCCTGTTTAAACTGTGAAACAGACCAAAGAGTACCTTGGAATTCCAGAGCCACGGGAAAGAAATAAAAAATTCTAAATGATAGATGCATTGTTACTGGTTGGCTTTGAAATCCCCCACAATCCTCTGTTCTTCAGACAAAAGCCACCTCACTTGTTCCTAGACTAGAAGAGGGGACTTTTTTTTTTTTTTAAGCACTTATTGGAAGGCAAATGTCACAGCAGATATCTAAATTAACAAGGCTGTTTCTGCACGCTGGCTTTTGAGGGCTTTTCATCTGAACTTTCACAGCCCTCCTGGTGACTCATTGTCTCACTAGTCTGAGAAAGAGGCCAGAAGCTGCCCGGGTTAAAACAGTTGTTTGAAGTTTATTTTTTATATCCCTATGAGCTATCATCTCCCCTGTAATGTTTCTGGTTTGACTTTTTTCTTTTCCTTCTTTCTTTTTCTTTTTCTTTTTTTTAGGCAGGGTCTCACGATCTATGGGTTTGATTTTCACTACGGAGGTACTTA